ACTACTACTACTACTATTGCCCACAACCACCGCCACTACCACTGGCATCACTGCTGATTAGATTATCACCTCCCAAGTGTCCCAAGTCCACAGCAATAAGGGGTTACAGTTTGCGACCCCTGCACAGCGCCAGTGCCAGAACTCCCAAGCAAGCTCGAATTTCGATGGGTCCCCGAGAAAAGGCTGGGATAGAAGTCTCCGCTTGTCAATCCCAAACTCTCGAGCCGGAAAACTACTTGGAGGATCTTGGGACTTAGTAAGTAGGGTTAGAGGTACCCTAATTGGGGTTATAAGTATAGTTACCTTGTTTATAACCTCAGTTACTAAGTCCCATGATCCTTTAAGTATCCCAAACCCTAAACCTGACGCTCCACGTACCAATATAGCATATGCCTAGGCCGTAGATGGGTCCCTATATAGCTGCTTAAGGTCTAGGTATCAATTACATAGGTACATGGAGCCTAGGGAAACCACTAAACCAAAACCCCTAAGCCCTAAACCCTAAACCCTAAACCCTGCTGCTCTGCAGGAGGGCTTGCGGGAGATCGGCCAACGAAAAGCCGAGCTCCAGGCGCGGGAGAAGGCGCCCGGTTGGATTGAGGAGCACTTACTTGGAGGGTCGGGGGACTTAGTAAGTAGGTAATAAGTAGACTTACACATACCCTACCCTAATTGGGGTTATGGTACGCATAGGTCTATAAAATAACTACTTACTAAGTCCCCCGATCCCCCAAGTACCCTAAGGCTCTGAGGGACAGATACCCTGTGGCTCTACATAAGGACTTTGGGATGAGTGGTGTTTAAGCTTAAGCTTTGGGAAGTCGGTTTTGGGCTACAAAGCTGCTGGACTGTGTTAAGTTTTCGAGATCTGGCTTTACCTTAGCTGGCTTTTAAGTGCTTAAACCCTAAACCCCTAAACCTCAACCCCCGAAAACCCTAAATCCTGAAACCCTAAACCCTAAACCGCGAGTCTAAAGTGCAAGACTGAAGCCCTGCAACATAGCACAACACAGTGACAGAAAACATGAAAACCCAACTCTAAACCCCAAGCCCGGAACCTTTTATAACCTTAAGCCCTGAACCTTAAACCCCAAACCCTGAGCCCTAAACCCTAAACCCCAAACCCAAACCCTAGAAACCTAAACCCTAAACCCTAAACCCTAAACCGTCATAGAAACAGAAGCTGTTGAGGCTCTGGAGGATTCGCGCCTGGAGCTCAAGACGCAGGCAAAGCTCATCTGCCGGTGATGTACGCGGTCAGGGTGCATAGTGGCTCTATACCTGATAACCCAGGGTTTAGGGTTTAGGGTTTAGGGTTTAGGGTTTAGGGAGGCTCCGAATATACTACCATTATGGAATCAGGTCCCCAAAACCATAACATGGATGGTCTTCTGGGACCTAATTCCATAATGGTAGTATATTCGGAGCCTCTAGCTTAGGGACGAAAAGAACCCTACAAGGGCCAACAGAAGGTTCATATGCCATATAGGGTTTCAGAGACTACAAGGGTATTTGGCCCCTATTTTTACGGGTCTTTTGGTCCCTAATATAAGTGTTTACGGGTGATATGGGTAGTTCTCACTACGGGCCCTTTTTGTGTCCCCTAATTTGTACGGGACCCTAGAAAGGACCCTGATTTAGACAACTAGCCCTATCATGTCTCTATAGATGTAGAGCCAAAGCAAAAGCAATTCCCAATATTCCTTGGAGGGCCGCGGGACTTAGCAAGTAGTTATTGCTTTAGAGAATAGTAAATATCATTTCGGGTTTTTGCAAGTCTTCTCTTTTTCACTTACTAAGTCCCGCGACCCTCCTAATAGGGTTCCCATAAACCCATACACCCCAAACCCTTATAGCACTCATCGACAAGCAGGTTGGGTATCTTTGCGTAGAGGCTCGCAGTTTCCTTGTGGACAAAGGTGCAGGGCTCAGGATTGACAGCTTATGCCTTGAATCGGAGCACCGAAGTTTAGGGTTTAGGGGTTTAGGGCTACTTTTTGAAGAGTTGAATCCAAAAAACGTTACTTAGCCCGAAACCCTGAATCCTAAACCGTAAATCCTGAAGCCCTAAGGCATATAAGCCCAAACTAAACCTTTCAAACCTTTCCCGAAGGGTCCAAGTACCTAATGAGATACTCTCCCAACTATTAAGCGACTAGATTTAACTACCCTAAACCCAAGTACCTGAACTTATAACCCCAAAACCCCCAAAACCCTAGACCCAAGTACCTGAGTACTGGGTTCTAGGGATCTTTGCCCCAAGGGTCCAAGTTCCTAATAATCATATACTCTCCCAAATAGTACCCTACATAACTACCATCCGAGACCTAAGTACCTGATTATTGGGTCCTTTGGACCCTTAGGGTTTGGGGCTCGAAGTCTGGAGATCTGCTGCAGGTAGCACAGCTGGCCGAAGCTCAACAGCAGGTGCCATATTCGGATCAAGGGCTTTGGGGTTCACAGGTGTCTGGGTGTTTAGGACTGAGGGTATGTGGGGTTTAGAGGTTTGTTTCGGCTTCTCTCGGTGGTTTGGGTGTGTTGGGGTGTTTAGGGCGTAGGATTTCGGGTGTAGCTAGACCCTACACCCTACACCCCCCTAAACCCTAAACCCTAAACCCTACACCCCCCTAAACCCTAAACCCTAAACCGCCTTTGGTCTGGGCGGTCGGGTTTCTGGCTTTGGCGCTTTGGGCTTGGAGGCTGAATGAAGGCTTCGACCTGGAGGGTGGGGAGACTTAAAAAAGTAGGGTTCCTTTAAGGGGCTCCTATTTTAGGGATCCTTAAAGGGATATATAGGGGTTCTAGAAGGGGATCCTTAAAGGGATATAGAAGGGTTCTAGAAAGGGAAGGGAGGGCATGGGATTTAGTAAGTAGTTCTTTTGTAGACTTATAAGTTATAAGTATCATAGCCCCAATTAGAGTCCCCTTCAGGTTACTCTAAATCCTCCGACCCTCCAAGCAGTAAGGTAGAGTCTAGGGGCAGTTCTTTTCCGGCGACTACCTGATTCCAGGCCCCATGCCGCAATTGCTGTTCCTCAACGTGATGTTTAGACATGCTTTTTTTCCGGCTGCATCTCTAAACCCTAAACCCTAAGCCGAATGCGAATAGATCGGCCCCCTTTGACCTTAGATCCTCTTGACACCGAAGTCTGAGCCCAAGCTGCGTAATCAGGCGTTGGGGCGGCGCAGGTGATGGTTTAGGGTTTAGGGT